GTTGAGTTTATGAAAGTATGACTAAAATACTACCTACAAGTAGTGTGTGTGCCTAAAATACTGCCTACAAGTAGTATATGATCAATAAATATTCATTGAATGAATAAATGACTACATTAGAGATTTATCTTACTAGGCCAATTCTGAAGAGTGTAAGGTTTTGTAGTGTTTGGCTTCTGTGCAACATTATGGGTGAAAGATGTGTGAAATACCACAATTAAACCAGCTCAGACTCAAACCGTTAACACAGCCCTCACATGTCCTAGTAGATACACTATCTCTTATAAAACTTCAAATAGATAATGGGTCAGGAGAGGTTTTTAAATTGTGAACTGGGAATTCAAATACTCTGAAAATCCCTCAGCTCTTAAGCCTGAAAGGTATGAAAATAACTCACTTAAAAATTGTCCTATCATGGGCTAGGAGTATAGCTCAGTTGGTAGAGTGTGTACTTAGCATTTATGAGGACCTGGGTTCAATACTTAGTAACCCCCCCACCCCCACAAAAAAAAAAGAGGGAGAAATGCTCTATCAGATATTGTAATAAAACATTATTTGGGGCTGAACAGCATCATCATGGGAAGATGGTAGTGACAACTTTAAATTGCCAAATCCACTGATGGAACTGAGTTTAAGAGCTCTTTTAGGAGATAGCAAGGTAATGTTTTTTCTTAGAGTGAAAAGAAAGTCCTACAAAAGCACATCTGGTACATATAAGTTTCATCACCTTAAAAAATACATATAATAGTCTATAATATCAGCATGTATTTGCCCAAATAAAGTACCAAGAAGTGACAAAAATGAAAAAGAATTATTAAAGAGATAGATCAAAGAAAACAATGATGAATTCTGTTCCAAATGCAGTGGTATTTTAAACAAAATACTGATGGTATAGTGCAAAGAGCATTATATTTCATTAGCAATATTAAATTCTAAATATTTTTACTTTGTGAACCTGATGCTATTAGGGAGACAATATTCCAGAGTTTACTGTTGCATTTAGCCTGCCCTTTGACACATGCCATATAAGTAACAACGCAGCAAATCATTATGCAGAGTGATTTGAAATGCAAATAAAGTAATTTCTGAGCATTTTCTTTGACCTCTCAATACTTGTGGGGACAAGTAACCTTGAGCTGAGAGCATCTTCTGAAAATGTTGTCCACATGTCTCAAGTTCTCTCCCTCACACATATAACTCTGCCATGTACCCTCGACCAAACCATCTAAATTACATTCAGATTTTTGTGGTATCATAATAACTTCAATATGGGATATATTTTTGACATTCTGGTAAGAGACTCCTTTCTTCACTGCCTCACCCTCCTTCCAAGTTATTTCAGGTTTGCATATTTCATTTTCGCATCTCAGTGGGATACACATCACATAGCATTTATTTGTGAGGTCCAAACGCATAATGTGGGGGACTGTGAACTAGCATGTCAAAACCACATACTGTATGCGTATGTCTTAAAGAATGAAGAAAGATTCCTTTTTTCTCAGGACATATAAGCTGTCTCAACAGAATAAGTCCAAAGTGAATACCACAACCTAATTAAAGATGAAGAGCATAACAAGCAGTATTAAAATGTCTTTTTTGATTCATTCTTTTCCAAGTTATGTTTTTATCAAATGTCTTGTCTCATTAATGACTCCAGTAGACATAACAAGTATGCACACCTTCTAATCTCACCAAATTCAGAAAAGGATTGAAAGAATTTTCTTTTGCATGCTTTGGGAGATATGACAACATTGTATGCTGACACAGGCAGGGTGGAAAGGGCTCTGAGGAGAAACCAAGTCCATTCTCCTGCCTACAGGGACAGACTTACATAGTCCCAGACAACGCTCTACAGAGGAAATACAAAGTCTCTCTCGGGAGTCATTTCCTGCATTTAGGACTTTTACTTCCACAAAGTTCTTCCAGGTTTCAGGCAGGCAGCTTCCTTAGCAAAGGAGTTGAGCAGTCACACAGGTCCCCATGTTCAGGAGGGCCTCCTGCCGGGTTTAATGTTTTGTTGTCAACATCTTGAAAATTTAACAATTTTACCTTTGAACTTATGTTTTGTAAGTGAAGTCTGACGAGGCAGTGAAGCTCTTGTATGAGAGGGTACAGTATGCATGCCCTTCTCTCTTTCTGCCCCATTCATACACAGCCCAGTAAGCACTGACGTGCCATGACCACAGAATGACAGGGAAGGTCTGTTAGGTTTGGAGTGAGTGGGGATACTGACAGGCCTGAGAGGCTTTCCTTTCCAATTAGAATGTGTTTCAAATGAAGAAGACAGCAGAATTCAAAGACACACTAATGACTGAGAAAGTCCACTATCTTTCTTATTCCTGTTACTTCCGGTAGTATCTCCACCACTTACACTGAAAATAACCCAGACGGAAAGGGAAAGACAGAGCAGCTCAGAGTTCCTTTTCCTTTCAGTTCTTCCTCATCAATAAGCTGAAAGTAGATAGCGCTGGTGGAGGGGCACATAGCAAGAAGTGAAATGAGATGGGAAGCCTCATGCAGCAATTCCACAGGTCAGTAAGAACAAAATATATTTGCATATACAAACTACAAAATACAAACTGAGAATTTCCTTGATTCTGCATGAGTTTAATGCCCTCATAATTGCATTTCAATATGGCACTACACATTATAAAGATCAGTGGTAAAATTCATACTTACAACTTAAATTTTTAAGTTTTCTTTACTTAGGAGGGCATTAGATAGCAAAAACAAACAAACAAAACCCATGACCAGTCAAGAGAGAAACTACAGAAAGAAAAAAGCTTTATTTTTAGTACTGTAGATCTCCCCCCTTATCCATGTTCGAAAACCTTGAGTGGGTGTCTTTTCTATATACACGCATGATGATAAAGTACAATTTATGAATGGGCATAGTAAGAGATCAACAATAATAATGAAAAAGAGAACAATTATAATACATTATAATAAAACTTATGTGAATATGGTCTCTCTCTCTCTCTCAAGACAAATAATATTTTTGCATTGCGGTTGACCAGAGGTAACAGAAATTGCAGAAAGTGAAACCAAGGGTAGGGTTTTAATCCCACTTCAGCAGTTTTCCCCCCTGACTTTTGGATAAGGGGTCTACACTATTCTTTGCAGCATGCCCCACAAATTATGAAACTGGTCCTGCCCTGTTTCCACCATCTACATCTGTTCTGCCAGGTCACTTGGTTAGCCCTCACCATTTTCTCCATTCACCTACCCAACACCCAACAAATACTGACTATGCTGAACTCAGTCCTTGTACCATATACTGTGGATATGAACAGGAGTAAGGTATTATTCTTCTCCTCATGTGTATCAGAGAGATAGACAAATAACCTTAAAAAGGTAGAAATACCCACCCACCTTGCATTTTTAGTGAGGGCTGAAAATAATACTCATAAAATGTACAGATCACTTCCAATAATGCTTGCTAACCTTCAGCACTTAATTAAGACATCTCACTTAATTCTGATCACAACTTCTTGGGTAGGACCTATTACTATTGCCATCTTATAGCTGCACAAGGAGAGATTTAGAACAGCTAAGGAACTGGGCCATGGTGATTTTTTTTCATCTAGTGGTGGAACCAGGAACTAAGATCATATAAGCCTTTCTGACTATAAGATCTGAGTTTAAAAATAACAGCTATTATTCTTATAAACATAATCCCAATCATTACACTCTTTATTTTCCATTGTTGCAATGTAAATGTCTTCATTTTTAGTTTCTCAAAGATCAATTTTAGTTGTAATTGTATGTTATTAGTATCGTTTGCCATTAAAATGTGTATTCAAGTTTTTTCTAATTTATTAGTATTTTATTTTATAGGTCATAAATGATATCTTTTTCTGTTTTAAAAAATATTTGGTTCAGCTGACAAACCTGTGATTTTCAAAATCACATTCATGACTTTGTTCATTAAAATATGGCATACTATTTTAAAACATGCTTTGGAAGCAGACAGACCAGAGTCCAAATCCTGGCTCTTCTGCCACTACTTTTGGAAGAATAGTTAACTCAGCGCCTAAATTTTCCCATATGTAAAATGGGATGTAAACAGTACCTTAACTATCTCACAGGGCCATGTCTAAGTGTGAGATCATTCTTAGGAAATAATTAAAACAGTGCCTTGTAAGCCCTTGAAAAATGTTGTTTTAGTACTATTAATTTTTTGTGCCATGTTTCCATATTTAGGTTTGAAAATGATTTTGAAACAATTTTTCCCTTGCAATGATTTCCTCCAGTCCAAAAACTAAATTCAAAGGTCTCTAATATCCCAGATGTACATTATTTTTTGTAAATAAAAGCATACAAAAGGTCACCCAGAATGGCACCTGCTGGTCATATATACCTTTCTGAATCAAGTAATCTGAGATGTTTTTATTGAAATAATCCTCCAGTGAAAAATCAAAAATACCACCCCACTTTTCCACCTTTTTATTATAAACTGTCTGTTCCAGGGTCAGAGGTAAAAAAGTTTATGAGCTATTATTTAAAAACTCTATCAATGAACTATTACTGTCATTTTTAGCAAGACTATCTCACTTTCCTCTAACCTTTGAAGTGACACTTAAATTTAAGAATGCTGAGCAAAATAAAATGGCTGAACTGCTTTCTCTGGCAGAAAAGGAAAGGATTAGCTAATCTGAAGGCTTACTGCCATCACTCAGGTCATCAAATGACTGTTTCCCTGGCTTCTAAGTGATTGAAGAGCACATTAAAAAATGGGCTGGATAAAACATAAAAATGGACTGTATGTCTATTTTTAAAACAGCTTTAGAATGAAAGGCCTTCAAATAACACTTCTATTGCGGATTAAAGAAAAGGAAAGCAGCATTTTCGTAAAAAAAAAAAAAAAAAAAAACCCAAGAAACAAAATCAAGCATCCATCTGATGCCTTAGAAAACATAGACATCCATGTGCTACATTCCCAAAACCAGTCTCTTTCCAATAAGGCTGGTTGTTCCCACTACAGGCTTATGTGTCCTTACCAATTCTTGTGTGTCTTCCTGTAGTGGCAAAAATGCTGCTTCCAGAATAGCAATCTGGTCAACACTCAGCTTCTGCCACAGCCCGATCAGCAGAATCACCAGATGGGTGGCACTTTTCAGCCTGGTGAATGACTGGAACAGATTGTCTTGGTTTTCCTCAATTGCATCTGCTAGAGCGATTACCTGTAGAAATTAGAAACTTCAGTTAGGGATAATTTCACAATGCTTGAGCCCTCAACAAGTTACATTTGGCACACTTTTGTTTTTATTTAAAACACTTCATGAGCTTTGTCCTCCACAAACACAAGCTATGTTGAGTAATAAAAGAGTTATCATTCATCTGCTTACTTCCTTCATAAAGGAATGTCCAAAGTAATTTGAAATCCATATGGCCAGGGGATGAAAATATCCACGAAATCAACTAAATGGGGACATTGTTCAATATCTGTTTCACTGCTGGTTAACCCTCTTCAATATATGGTATTATAAATAACCTCTAATAAAGCTATTATAGTCTTTATTAATGGCTATGGAGACTGATCAATGAAAATAATCTTATCAGAATCAACTGGATTTGCTTCATAGTTCAAAATAACTTCATCACACCTTTTTCAGAAAATAACTATTGATCTCTGATATTAGCCTTCATATAATATGGTGTTAGAATAGCCAATATTTCTTTACTATATTAAAAAGGCAGATAAAACTCAAACATTTGATCAAGCACCACCTGTCAGGGTCCTGAAAGAGGAAAAAAAAAAAAAACTGAGGATGTGTTAGTTTTACAATGCCAAATCTACTTAAGATAAAAATTGGCAGGACTGAGTAGAATTTATTTTTTACCCTTCTGAATAATCTTATGGAAAAAGGAACTAAAGCAAAATTTTGATGGAACATCCAAAGCTGCCCATTGATATTTTCTTTTATTATTTTATATTATGTCTTGGTGAATTTTGTGCTCATTAAAAGTAATAAACTGACTGCTCCAGAGGCTCAAGGCATCTGAGAGTCCCCAGAACAGGAATAGTAAAACCCAGGGCAAGGAGCTCCTTTCTAGTAAAGTTCAGCTTGAGGGACTAGAGCTCAGATGAGATTCAGAAACCTGGTGCAGACTGTCCATTTGGTGATATTTCATGGTTATTGACACTGGCCCAAAGGACTTGTTAAAAAAATCATCATTCTAAGCAGTAGAGGCTACAGCTGTGTGGTCTCTCAAATTCCATGTGGGGAGAGAGAACTGTAAAGAGATAGTCCTCAGAGTGTCTGGTAGACACTGAAAAAGACATGTGAATTAGAGAAAGGCAGTGCAATGGAGATCCTTCCCCAAACACGGTACAGACCAGGATTCTTTGCCCCTTGGCTGAGGGCTTGCGGGAGTTATAAAAGGCAATTGCAGTTCACATTCAGCTTTCTAGAGAACCATGAGAGTTTGAACCAAGACCAGAACCACATAAAGAGCATGACTTATTATGTGCCTAGTACTGTGCTTTCCATCAGCATTCAAAAGAAACACATGAGCTCTTGAAGCCCACAAGGATCTTAGAATTTGTTGGAAAGAACACATACATACACAACCAATTAGTGGGAAGAAACATTACTATAATAATGTCCTAATTGCACAGAACAGAAAGTAAGTGTGAAAGAAGTTAGCAAAAGGATGAATTACCATGGGCCAGAGTTAATATCCCCAGGGCCTCTTTTACTCAAATGGGGCTTGGAACTCATCCCTTCCCCATTACTTCAAGAAACCCCCTTGAAGAGATGGGGAAAGGCCACTTTCCTTAAACCAAAACACCTGGACTCATGTTTCCTCCACTCCTACCATGATTACAACTGACTCCTGTTCAAGTCTAAGTTTATACTCTTTTTTCTTCCTGTGAATGTTAACAATTAAGCCTCAGTGGTGGTGGGGACCCATCATATTGACACAGATGCTTAGTGTCAAAAGTCTAACTCATACAAAGATCAAGGTCATAAATACCTACTGAGTGCCAGGCATATGCAAGAATTTTTGGGAAGCACTAGTGAATTCAATAGTGTGACAAGACCTAATCGCTACCTTTAAAGAGTTCATAATAGAAAAAAGAAAATAGGTCAAGGAGGCTAATACTGACCATATAAGGAAGACCCTTTACACTGTAAAGGAGAATTCCATTAATATTATGACTATTACCTTAATGACAATCCCTCCAATTAGTTGAACATAGCTGGTATGCCACACATTCTGCTCTGTGCCATGCAGGTATCAGTGTCTTCAGTCTTCATACTGCTATAGCCACTTAATTGGTGCCATGTCTCTTTTACATGTGAGGTGAGGACTCTGAGACTCAGCTAATATAAGGAATTTGTCCAGTACTGTCTGTAAACAAGGCATGCAAGTTATGCCCACACTAAGCAGGGCTTATGCTTGCTTTAATGCTCTGTTGCCTCTGTGTTGGAAGTGTTAATAATTTTATTTTTGAACTTATGTTTTGTAATTGAAGTCGATGGGTCAAATGAACAGAGCAGAGGAGATATGTGCACTCACTGTATGAGTTAAATGCTCTTATTCTTGCATTTAAAACTGCCATTGACAATATAAAGGTTAATGGTAAAATTCGTGTTAAATAAAATTTAAATTTTTCCTCATTTGGAATGATATTAAATGAAAAATTTTAAAAGATCATTGGAAATTGTAAAACAGAGACCACTGAAGAAAGGAAGGAGCTTTTTATTTTAGTGGCTATTTGAACAGCCTGTTCTTCTTGCCTTATAACAAGAACTCCTCATTTTCATTTTGTACTAGGATATGAAAATCATCTAGCCCAACAGTACACCTAATAAATGAATGACTAGGATTCACTCTCTGGAATCTGTCTTACTCCAGGCCTCCTTGAGACTGTAAACATTGAACCATGGGCATACTAAGAACTGGGCATGAAGGCTTTAGGAAGGAGAAGATAGAGGGAGAAGCAGTGGCATGCTAGAGGATGTGATTAGTTCCTCCTAGCTCAGGAGAAAGAACCAACAGTGCAATTTTCAGGAATTTTGTGAGTCAGTTGTTAAACATGACCACTACTAAAAATTAGATTACATATACTAAAAAAAAGAAAAAGTAACACCTACTCAAAACTCACTACTTCCTGTTATTATGTAGTCTTGAGGTTATTTATGCCTATTGTGTCTGTGTTTTATGAACACTTTACAATGGTGGGCTATTGCTCATTTTCTTCCTAACTCTGCATGAAGAGGCCTCACATTGGCAGCCTGAAATCAGCCAACAGAAATATTATAACATAGAAATCAACAAATGTTAGAGTCAGGCTCCTCACCCTACCCCACCAGAGAGATTGCTGTCAAATATTTACCTCTAAAAAGGTACCTGAAAAATGCCTACTTACTGAGTAAGGTGGCATTAAAGGGAAGGGCAGAACTTAAACAAAGCAGAAAAATAGATGCTGGTTGTTTGGGGAAGAGCAAACATTCAGATTAGGGAAGGCTTTGAAGACACTAAAAAGGTAAGCTGGGCAACTGCCAGCTTAAGTGAAGGCACTTAGCTCTGCAGGTCCTGGGGAGCCAGAGTATTTTGAGTATCGGTGTTACCTGATGGAGGGTGCACTTCAAGTGACTATGGAATAACAACAAATGTTTGGAGCATTTGCTGGGACTTCAGTGAAGCTTCTACGCACATTCCTCCCTATCAAGGGAAAAGTCTTAATGAGTGTAACAGCATGTCAGTTTGTGGACCCACTCAACTTGCTAAACACAGCTGGGATAGAAGAATGACTTCTCAGTGAGGCAACAGCCCGAGCCACAGGATCTTTCCTGAGCAAGGCCCCAAATACATCAATCCGGGAGAAGCATTGTCTCTCTTAAGTTTCAGTCTTACTGGATATATTTCTGTGCCATTGTGGAAACACAGTCTGCTATCCCCAAATGGTCACAGGAATTGGAATGAAAGGGAATAAACAACAACCGATGTAAATTGCCCCCAAGGAAAATCTTCCTGACCTACTGGCCAGCATGAAATACTAAACAGATCTCCATGTTCTCAATTTAGTTTTACACATAACAGCCAAGTTTACTTTGCTCTCCACAAGAGCCAAATGAATTCAGCAGAATTAGCATAGTAAAAAGAGATGGAAAAATTAGACCCATCGAGATCCAGATCTGTGTGAGCAAGGCCTTGAAGATCTCACAGCTCACCTGGAACTGAGAAATGAGGCCAACCAGCTGCTAGGACTTAAATTGGAGGGAGAGTGACTTTTTCATGGCTCATCACTGGCTGAGCAAGTTGCGTGCTTCCTGGTATTCAACAGAACTGCAGAAAGGAAAGGCTGTAGGAAACAATACATGCTAACAATTTCAAGCACAATGTGTTGATGGCCTTTGTTTTGCTTTTTCAAGTTGAAGGTTTCCAAATAAAATGGAGACCCCAAAGGACATCTCTGTCCAACTGCCATATCAGTTGATGCCAAAGTAATGAGGCAGAGGCCAGGGAGCTGCTTATAAGAAAACGCTCAACTCATAAAGTGAGTGTGAAATTAATCCCAAATACTTCCAGCTGCCAAGATATGCTCTAAAATTGGTTACAGGAAAGCAGCAGCAGAAAAGTGAGTAGACATGAATCAGACTATGTGAGCACGGACATGTACCACTTCTTCACCTAAAGTTACTGTCCAACCTGCCTCTGAAGCTCATGGGTGGCATACAGAATCCCATTGCATTGCTTTTTAGGTGCCATTTTCTGAAGACTGACTGTGAGCCAGCATTGTGCTTGTACTATTACATTCAGATTATCATCCAGTCCTCTTGAAAACTCTCTGAGGTAGGAATTATTAACTCCCTCCACCCCCACTTCCGGACAAGAAAACAGAAGCATAGACCATCTAAACACACTGGCTATGGTCATGAGCAGGGCAGAGAAGTGCCAGAATTCCAATCTTATCTTCTGATTTCCCACTGAGGTCTTTTTCTTCTGTACAGATATGCAAATGTACAGTGATTCCTATACAATCGTTCAGTGGATTTAATATCTTGATAATCAAACAATGATACTAAGGAAAAACACTACTCATATATTACATCCATAGACATGTACTTTAAGTTTTCCCATACTGGGGCTTTTAACAAGTGTCAAGCCAAGCTGGCTGGTTTCCATCCAAAGGTGATTGGTATTACCCAAAGTCACAGTATAAAGGACATTAGTTAATGCTTTCTAAGGATGGGAAGTTTTTTTCTCTTAACAAAGAGAATTTTATTACCTTCTACATAGTTCAAAAGATGAAGACTTCAGATAAAGTAGCTCTTTTCTAGGCCTGCTCCTTTAGTGAGGCTGCTTTTTTTCTTTTTTTTTAGGGGACGATTCACTTATTTTTCTATAAATCTCACATTATAATCTTTTCAATGATCTGAGCAAGTTGGTGTTCTTTAACAACTGTCATCATTTATTGAGGCATTTCTAGGAACCAGGCACTGTGCTAAACTCTTACAAGGATTATCCCACTTAATTCTCTAAATAATCCTAACGGGCAGATACTATTATTGTCCCCACCTTAAAAATAAGAAAGAGAACTATAGAAAGGGCCAAACAGTAAGCAGCAGAGCCTGAATTCATACTCAGGCAATTTGACCCAAAAAACATCACCAAGAAACACTGCCTTCATTAATTTTTGCCTGCGTATCAGCCTCATCACAGGCAATATGTAGAACAAATTCTGTCAGGAGCTCCCCAGTGAGAGGTTTCAGTGTTGCTGACCTTCCAATAGCCCATACAAATTAGGAGGGATTTACTTTAATAAAGGCTGGCATGGATGAACAAGTTGAGTAAATGGAGCTCCTACAACATGCGTGCATTTACAAATCCCCTAGGGAAAAATGCAATATGCCATGCTGGAAAAGGCAATGGCCTTAGAGCCAAGGAGACAGGGTTTCTCATGCTGTTTTGCTAGCAAACAACTTGATGCCAGTGTTTAACTTACTTCCCTATTCTGACAACAGTTTCATCGTCTTTAGATGTCAGAAACATGATCTTGACCATCCAACATAGCAGTAAGTATGTGATTCAAAACATTGTAGATTAGTTTTGGATGATATGTTGTTCTGACCTATCCATGCCACTTCTTCCCCTCTATTTGCACATGTTAGGTTTCTCATTTTATGTTTGTTGACTTGGAGTTTTTAAGCTATATAATTTATAGCAAGAATATTTTTTCTTTGGTTAATTCATAGGATCATGAGAATTAGATGAGGGGTTAAAAATAGATAATGGCAAGTGTTGACAAGGATGTAGAAAAATTGCTGGTAGGAATGTAGTAAGGTACAGTCATTTTGGGAATAGCCTGGCAGTTTCTCAAAACATTAAGTTACTACATGAGCCAGCAATCCTGTTTCTAGGTATCTGCCCCCCCAAAATAAAAATATATATCCACTCAGAAATTCATTCGTGAATTGTTAGTCAGCTTGCCACTACTATAACAACTGCCGAGATAATCACCTTATAAAGAGAAAAGATTTTGACTTACAGTGTTGGAAGTGTCAATCTATGGTCAGGTGGTCTTATTTCTTTCAGTTGGTGGTGGTACATTAGGGCAGGAACTCTTGGTAGAGTAAAACCATTCACCTCATATCCAGGAAGCCAAAAAGATAAAGAGGAAGGGGCCAGAGTCCTATTATACTCTTCAAGGACACACCCCCAATGACCTGAAGACCAGCCTTCAAAAGTTTCTACCACCTTCCAATGGCAACAAGTCAGAGACCAAGCACATGGGTCTTTGAGGAACACTCCAGATCCAAACTACAGTATGACTGTTTACAGAAGCATTTAAAATAGAAAGTATAAACAACTCAATGCTTACCAACTGATGCAAGAATAAACAGAACATGGTATATCCATACAATGGAAAACTGTTCAACTATAAAAAGAAATAAGGTATTTATATGCTAAACAGGGATGAATCTTGAAAACACTGTGCTAAGTGAAAGAAGATCATCACAAACAACCACAGGTTGCATGACTGCATTTATATGAAATGTCCAGAAGAGGCAAATCTATAAACACAAAAGCAGTTTAGTAGTTGCTTAAGGCTAGGGGTAGGTGGTAGAAGGATAGGGAATGGGAAGTGACACCTAATAACTATGGGTTTTGTTGTATTTTTTTAGGGAGGATGAGATGTTCAAACCTAAACAATAGGGAGAGTGGCACAACCTTATGAACACAGCAAGAATTCTCAAATTTATGTACTTTGAATGAATTTTATGTACTTTGAATTTAAGACTGTTAAAATAAGAGACAAAAAGTACTTTGAAAGTATATTTCATGGAAGATAGATAAAATAACATAAGTAAAGCACTTTTACTTAGGCAACAATTTTGATATATAAATGGCTATCCCATATTATAACTAGGGCTTAATGACATTGACAATGACACAATAATCATGTGACTTTCTGTCAGCTCTAAGCAGAATACCACAATGCTACACACTAGCTATATGACCTTTGGCTAGTTACTTTACCTCCATCAGACTTAGTTTTCTCACCTATAAAGTTATAATAGGATTTACTTAGTTCTAATTCATTTGGTTCCTGGTTACTATTTAATATTCCCCCTATAATTAAGGATTCATTTCAAATTAGTTAGAACAGGTAAACTCTTCTTTTTATTTGAAAAAGGAGGTCCTACTTGAGGCACACTACCAAGTGGGGCAGGACAGCTGATTACCCTTCCTGTTCCATGTTCTGCCTCTGCTCACTCACTAGGACAGTGTTCATTTTATAGCTAAATTTAGTAAGTTTCAAAGTAAAAAGTCATGAGACCCTGTATCAAATATATTACTAAAAGCTATGTAAATTACACATGTTCAATTCCTTCATTCTACTCCTTTAGCACTTCCATTAAAACATGCTCACATACACGCATGCCTTTGCCTGGCATGGCCTGTTCTCTAGGAATCCTCTGAGTCTTGTTACTCAGAGAGCTCTTTTTTATATTATCGAAAAGCTAGGAAATTGGGTGATTTAAATGTTTCTACAGTGAACTATGCAAAAGCAGAGGTAAAATAACATTCATGCTCAAAAAGCTCCACAATATCAGCATAATAAGAGTGACTGATGCTCCCAACATGCTACAGTTGTCCGGTACCAGGTACACAGAAATGTCCTACAAATTCTAGATGAACTGATGAACCTCAACTCAACTAAAAATCCACACAACTCGGAGCCCTAAGGCCAAACTGCCTTTCTAATCCTAGACACACTGAATCAATGTCAGGCTCCCAATTTGAGTGGAACCCAAGTGATGTCACATGGAAACAACAGACCTACCTCAATATATCTGTCATCTACTTAAAAACAACTGCTCCATTTCACCTTTAGTCAGAACTGCCTAACACCAAACTTTAGACAGCTCTAATGGCTGCTGAAGTGGATTTATTATTCAGATGGTAGCCCTCTGGTTAGAAAGATACACTTTCAGTCTAGGAGAGATTTGGAAGCCAGCAGGAAATAGTGCATACTTCCCTTTCAATGCTGTTATTTGTGATGGCATTTGCTCCAGACTCCAACATGGCAAAGACCTCGCAATAAGGAAAAAGAAAAAGGTTACTAGATCTAATCCTTTACTTTGGCTGAAAAGAACCAATTTGCATCCAAAAGAATTGTTCTTTTACCAGAAGAAAAATGAAAGAAGTCTCAAAAGGAAAAAAGAAAGGGCATGGAGGTGGTTTAAATGCCAGACAAGCATATTAGAAGTGTTTTGGTAGCAAGCTTATAACTAACTCTCCACCTATATGGATTGTACCTATATGCTGAGCTTCTACTTAGATAAAAGAGAACCCTGTGGCTTTTATTTTGAAGGCATTGCAAAAATCTAATTTTTAGCACATTTGGTACTATGTTAATTTATATAAACAGGATAGGGCCTGGATTGCCTTCTAGTATACCTCAATGGAAATAAACCTTGAAATTTCCCCCATTAACATGCATTTAGCTTAAATCTTTAAAAAAAAAATCTGGGGTCAGAATACATTTTTCACTCTGGTACTCTTTCAGGTAGCTAATAAGACATTTTTCACAAAAGCAAAAAGTAGAAACAAATGTCTAACAACTGATGAATGGATAAATAGAATGTGGTATATCTATACAATGAAACACTAATTGGCAATAAAAAGCAATGGAATATTTATATATGTATATCTATAAAACATTGATGAATCTTGAAAACAATATGCTAAGTGAAAGGATACAGTCAAAAAGATCACATATGCTATGTTTCCATTGATATGAAATGTCCAAAACACGCTATTCCACACACAGAAAGTAGATTGGTGGCTGCTGGGGAGGTTTGGGGAAGTGGGGAGGAGCTACTAGTGGATATGAGATTTCTCTTTTAAGGGTACATAAATGTTCTAAAATTGATAGTGGTGATAGTCACACAATTGTGAATATAATTAAAAAATCCACTGAATTGTATGTATGCTCTAAGGGTATGAACTGTATGGTGCCTGGATTATATCTTAATAATGCACATAGAGTGTTTTAAGGTGGAGTGGAAAGCAAAAGTTTGAAAATAATGATACTAATAACAATAAATAAATTCACCTGTCTAAAAAAAATAAGACAACAGAAAAATGTTTGCATTCAGTAAAAAGCTTTGGGCACACAACTTACATCTTCATAATAAAAGACCTGCTCCTGGCTAAAACCACCTGATGCTCTGAAATATCCAGGTATCATCATTGTGACTCTTGGAAGTCATGATGGTTTTTCTAGTCTACAATTTTCCCTGTCACGAATCTACACTTGCCAAACGCCTTGAGAATTCACATAAAACTAGTTTTAGAAAAACAAATTATTCTTGAGAAATTTCTTTATACTATATACTATAGAACCCTTTTTTCTTTTCCAATGTTCTGCCCAGAAGAATGTAAAAGGTAGGTAGTGCTGGGATATAAACTCTGGCCGGGACTTTTAAAATATGTACCATTGATACATAAAAATGTTAAATGGGAGAAACAATAAATCATTTACAAGTGACATTGAGACAAATTTTTCTATTTCTGCAAAGTTTATTCACTAAATAGACATGTAACTTTATCAGCTGAAAGGAAACTAACTTTAGTGCTTGGCTAATATAAAGCTAAAAATACAACTGATCTCAAGCCTGATTACTATTTTTACCTCCCCCCAGCCCCCTGGCTGACCAAATTTTTACCCCTTCTCATAAAATTATCTACCTATAGCCAAGTGAAACCCAAATTTAAAAAAATAATTAATGGAATCAAGTTGTAAAAAGAAGGAATGTTCTCTGGACTGTGGTTGTTCATTGAAGAGGCTGCTATTAAGGCTGGAATCTACAGTTGGCAATGTCAGAGATCATTTTACAAGCCCTAGAGAATGCCACAGTGATCATTCTCCAAAAACAACATCCACAAGGTCTGGTCTGAGCAGTTTCTAACTTTAGAGTGTTTCAGTCCACATTCCTAATCGGCAGACATGTCAGTGATTATGAGCCACCCACACAGCCTGAGGTGCCATCTCCAGTGAAGTGAAACGGTAGACAGAAGGACAGTTGTCCCTAAAGCATTCTTTTACCTGAGGCAGTCCAGGTGGAGACACATGATTACATGTGGTCAATTGTGGCACACTGGTGATCCCCCTTATAACAGCAAAAAAGAGAACCTGGAGACCCAACAGGGCTGGAGATACTACTGATCACTTCCTTGCTTCCAGAGTTGAAAGTGACATTGTCATAATAAAGTGAAACTGTTGTTTTCTTCTATAAATCTTCTTTTACAACATCTAGTTTTTCATAGGGTCTATTTCTCTTGAATATTTGTGGGGTTTATGCTTTTGCTTTTTTAGGTAAATGACATTGCAATACTCCTACTATCTGGTATTACTTTGAAAAGACATGTACAGGTCTATATTGCTAGACCACATGGAAATAAACAAAAGGCAATTGAGTGGGGCTGCCTGGTCTTACATAGAGTGTAACTAGGATAAACTGTGGTATTTCTGTAGTCATAGGCTGTTGGAACATTAGAATTGGAAGAGGCCTTGCTGAAGATATGTTGTGCTTGGTTTCTACTGAACTATAAACTCCTCCAGGCCAGATACTGCCTTACTATTTTCTGTTCCCACCCACAGTCTCTGGCTCACAGCAGGCTTTCAATGTTTGTTATATTGGGGTAAATTAAAAATTCTGATGACTCAGTAGCATAAGAGTATCCACAAAAATAGTAATTTATAGGAGCCCTATGTGGGAAAGGGAAGTCCATTCCTACATTCCAGGAGAGCAAGACCAAGACATACCATTTTCAAAAAGTTTTTGTAGGGCTGGAGGTGTGGCTCAAGTGGTAGAGCACCTGCTTTGTAATCATGAAGTCCTGAGTTCAAACCCCAGTCCCAACAAAAAAAAATTGTATAGTATCAAAAAGTTTTTGTAGGTTCTGCTATTTTTTAGGGTTACAATAGGTTATAAATACCTAAGCTCTACATTCTTACCTTCTACATGTATTGCATTATAACAGGTTCCCAAATTCATTCAAGTCTACTGCTAAGTTAATGTGACAAGTGTTATGATATCTACAATTAACTTTAAAATACCTCCTCATAGGTAGAGTAACATGAGGTGAGAATATGAGTCAATTTAGGCTACATTCAACAGAAAAATTGCTCAGCTTCCTCATTGATGACATTTGGGGCCAGATAATTCTTTGTTGTGGGTCTATCCCAGTACTGCAGGACATTTAGCAGCATCCCTGGACCCTACATATTACATGTCACTAGCATTCTCTACATTAGTTGTGACAACCAAAAATGTTTCTAGACACTGTCAAATGTCTCTTTGGGAACTAAACTACTGGTGGTTTAATCCTGAGAGGGTCCCTTTACTTCTTCAACTATCATTTTTCTCCTAGGTAAAAGAGAAGTACTTGGCATGAAGATCAAATGAGATACAACAGAAAGTGTGCTTATCACAATATCTAGCACATTAATATTATTATTCACAAGTCCTTGGCCAACCACCCAATCAACACGTTCTTTATTAAAAGAAAAAATTTTTTTAAAATCACATACCCAAAGACAATAATAACATCTCCCTTTGATATTTTCAGTATCTCCTCAAGGGATTCATTTTACACATAAAATATATACATTACTTATAAAAGTATGTAGCATAATCCCCATATACTCCCTGTATGTCCTTTTGTATTGTGTATATCGTATTTAGAATTATTTAATACTTTTAAACTCTGTGAAGGCCAGAACTAGATTTTGTCATGTCTACTAGTATGCCCCCAGCATACTACTAGTATAAAGCCTCAGACATAGTAGGGCTCAACAAGTACCTGTTCAACTGAACTGAATTAAATTTTTTCTGGTAATTCTGGAAGAGTAGTATACTGGCTTCATATTACCACCAGAATCTCTCAGAAGTGGAGTTAAAGGGCTAGTGGAGTGGCTCAAGTGGTAGAGTGCATGCCTAGCAAGCATGAGGCCTTGAGTTCAAACCCTAGTACAGAAAATCCAGAATAACAGTTGTAAGATACCAGCAAAAAGCTCATTTCCTTGATTCTACAATGTATTTTGTTTGTCAGGTATTCCCACAACATACATGTTAGGTGTGTATTGTTACCTCTTTGCTCATTTGATGTGGTACTTTTATCTTTTAAAGAGATTGAAAAATCAATAATGTATCTAACATTAACTTAAAAAGTTAACATTAGAACCCATTAAATATATTTTTGCTTGAAATTTTGTTTGGAGTTATACCACCCAAGGCCAAGCTCTTCATCCAGTTTCCAGGAGAAACTGTTCTAAGAGCACTCCCTGGATATTCCCAAAGGGGCAATCTCTCTATTTTCATAGAGGTCCCCCCAAACTCCTCCATACTTCCCATGGGGACATAGAATACTCATGCTTGCCTTCACTTCCGCTGAAGAGGAAGATAGCCTTGAAACAGGGCCATAAAACACGGTAAACTATCAACCAAAAGCTGTAACCTTGGACAAAACTGTGAGAGAGCCATGCAAAAGTTCAGGACTGAGATGAAAGGCACCATGCAGAGATAAGCACCCATTCCTGCCTTTCTTTGTCTCCACTTGTAAATAAACTTTCCTAAGCAGGTCTCCCCTGCTGTTCTTATCTAAACAACACTAGGTCCCTAGCTCACTACCAGCCCAATTAACCTAAACGATCTAACTCACTGGTTAGGACACCATAACCTGAGCACATCTTTGTAACCTGATGCCCTGCACTACCTTTTCAATATCTTGTGAATAATTTGTTCAGGGCTCAGACACAGGTACACGTCTGAGCCCATTGGCGTAAAAATAAAATCTGAGTTCTCCACTCCTGAGTGTCACTTGTTTCTCCTCTGACTACACTGTCACATCACCGCAAAGATTTTGCTTACTTTTAAAATTTAATTCTGGCTTCTTATTATTTCCATGAAAGAAAAACTATGAGTTTAGGAAGGTAATTAAATCCATTTCCTATTACTAGAGGCCAAAATTGATTTACCCTAGGAAAAATAAAATATATGTTTATTCAATGTATTCAAGAAATATCAACTGAGCAACTACTAGTGTGATGTGCTCTGCAGATTCTAACGGAGGAATAAAACACTCAGAGGGAACCTAAACGAGTGAAATGAATATCAGTAGAGTAAATAAATCAATAAATATCCACGAGATAGCAACATTTTTTACAGTTATGAAATATTTTAAGGACTATCTTCAATGTGATCTTGAACTAAAAAACTAGCCAAAAAAATAGAGATCTACATGTTTCTCTTTTTTTATTAGGGTATATTAATTATATAAAAGGGTTTCATTATGGTATTTCCATGCTATATATAATGTAGTTTGATCAAATTCACTCTGTTAAAAATTGTTCTAGAAAGAGTAATACATATATTTCTAATATAAACTAGAATTAATTTTTTTTAAAAAGGGACCCAAGATAGTTTTGGTGTTGGCATCAATAGTCTAATTTACAGTTTCTCCGTTAAAACAAAACACACAAAACCAAAAACAAAACAGGCAGAAAAACAAAAAGGGAAAAGAAAAAAGAATCAGATTGATCTGTTTATTCCTCAGCAAAGAAAAAAGACCTAGCATCCCAAGAAAGTAAATGTGGTACATATAAAACTGAGATCTTTTCTTGAAATGTCTAAACTTGAATTTCACTGGATGAGAGGGCCCCTCCAAGCCAAGTTTTCCTTTAAACAGCTGAAATATACCACATGATAATGAGAACGTCTAATAAGAGACATGAGTTACAAGATAATTTTGAAAACAACTCACTTTCTACCTAACTAAATCAACTGTCAATTCAAATCAGAATCCTCTAATAAAATCCATCTATGAGAAATCAGAATTCATTTTCATACACAAACAAAAGAAAGGTTATCCTCACACCAGTGACTGATTCACATAGCAACAAATGCTTGAATTTTTGGTATTAATACCCGAAACTGAGGTAAAGGGTTGAATTTGGATAAAAGAATAGCTATCACACCATGTGTCCAGGGAAGTTTTTAGTCTAGGGAGAGAATGCCATCTTGGTACTTCAGGAGTTCATGTCTAATTACGGCTTCACCAGTGAACCCTGAGGAAGTAGTCATTGCTTCAGCTCTCTAGAGTCTTATCCTGTAGCCATAATTTTAATTCCACTAAGAACACCTTAGAAAGCAGTGTTTAGCAATCTTCAGAAAGTTATGATTTTATGAC